TCATGGTTGAGCAGGGGCTCGGGTGTCTCTGCCCCCTGCACCCACCTGGCCCTCTTATAGCCCCAAGCCCGGGGGCCGTTGCATTGCCCCACCACAGGGCTAGCTGTCCCCACTTCCTTTCTCCACCTCCAGGAATGGATGAGGGTGAGGATGGCAAGAGCAGGGGGGGTGGGTGCAAGGGGCCTGGGTTGGCTCCAGATAAAATTCAGGGCACAAATTTGAAAGTCAGATTTTAAAAAATTATTTTTTCTTTTTAACTAAATGTATTGGGGTGAAATCGCTTAATAAAATTATGTAAGTTTCAAGCGTACAGTTCTGATACATCATCTGTATGTTGCATTGTGTGCCCACCACCCAAAGTCAAATCTTCTGTCACCAAATATTTGACTCCCTTTACTTCGCCCGAACCCCCTTCCCTCTGGTAACCACCGTACTGATGTCTGTGTCTACGAGTGGTTTTTTCTTGTTTCTGTACAGATGATTTTTATAAATAATAAAATGTTATGTCTCCATTACAAACCTTCCATATTGAAAGGCTCTCTAACATGAATTGCTTTAATATTAATTATGAAGCACAAAAGTTTAAGAACCTCACAGTGGGAGCCATCCAACCCCGGCAAACTCTAGTGATGAGACATTCTCTTTTAATGTGAAACTAACACAGTTCACAATTACAGAGAGAATGTCCTCGCCGTGGGTGTTAGGAGACCAGTTAACTTTCCAGACCCAAAGGCACTCACTCCCAGGGATGCACCAAGCTCTGAGCCAAACCAGCCACGTGGGGTTGGTTCCTTGAAAACAGCGGCCACCTACTGTTCAGCCTGAGCGGCCCAAGGACAAACGGAACGAGCAAAAGCCTCCCTTCTCTTCACACCTACGCGCACACGCGGACTGGCCGCCCTCATCACTGCGCAGGGGGCGTGTGCGGGGAGCAGTTCAGTTCTAGTTTGGAGCTGTCACCCCCTCTGCACAGCGGCCACGCGGATGATCCAGACTCGGTATTTTGCCTGAGAGCCACCTGCCACACATCTTCACGCGGCGGCCGTGACCGGGCACTCCCAGACTGCTTCCTGGCGAGGCCCCGGTTAAGACGGACACGGAGAGCGCCATTCTTTCCGGGCCACAGAACTCTCCTTGGTCAACCCTGAGCCCCCGTGACAAGCAAGAGGACCCCGAGCACCCCTGCTGCTGGGCCTGGGTGGGGCGCGGGGACTGGGCGCCCCTGCAGTGCGGTGCTGGGCTTCCCCAGCCGGTTCCTGTACCCGTTCCCAGCCCCTCTGTTGTTTTTTTTTTAAAAAAAAAACAATTTATTTAGTATAACTATGTTCCAAATATTGTACTTATCTGGAAAGTTAGCCCTTATTTACCTGACATTCGAATGTAACTGGGTGTCCTGTATTTTTGCTAACTCTGGCCCCCCTGGGCCCCGAGTGGCGGCTGCCACAGCGCCTCGGTCTCCCCTCTCCCCGGAGCACCACAATCCGGCCGGGGCACCCAGCGCGGTCCTGACGTTTCACAGGGGCGACAGGGGGCTGCTCGGTTCCCATCTGAGATGGGGAAGCTGATGCACAGCGAGGCCTCCCCCATGAGTGGCTCCCCAATGACACGGTGAGCAGCTGGGGTTTGAACTCAGGCCCCCACAATTCACAGCTGGATGACGATTTGCTGCCCGCCTCCCTGAGTCTTGGGTCTCCCGCTCCTGGCCTGGCCTTCCAACCTCCCTTTGGCGATGGCTCACAATGGGGAACTCATTCCCACCCGGGGCCCTATTAGTCTCAGGTCACCAGCAGAGGTTCTGGGGAAGAATTCCCCCCCGCCCCCCCATCCCCCACCTCCTGGGGTTTCACAGATCCCCTCTCTGGCCCGGGAAAGGAACTCTGCCCCGGCCAGGGGGCTGGACCATGGATGTCCATTGAAGCTTGAGAGCTGCTGTCTGGGGCTGTGGAAGAACTCAGGCCAAACCGTGGAGAAGGGGCCCCCAGGGCCCAGCCCCCAACCCCTGGCCCTGTTCCTCTTCCCACCTCCCCCAGATGCTCCAGCTCCAACGGCTGTAGCCAAGGCTGTCGCAAGAAGCAACGTTCTCCTGACCAGGAGCAGGGTTCATGGGGGGCAACCAACGGATCCATCGCAGGAACAAGTGGGTGGGGGCATGGAGGACACCCGGAGCCAGGGCTGGAGTCCTGCTTGTCCCTGGGCCTCCCTCTCCATTTGTGGCCACAGGCAAACGAACCCCCACATCTCATCATTGAGGGTGATGGCCCTTCTTTCCCAGAGCCTAGCACACTGCAGGCACTCAGTGCTCACCCTCATCCCTCCCTTCATCGGATACATGTCCCCTGCCCTCCTACCTGCTTGGCAGGGTCTCCACCCCATTGTGTTAAATTTGCCACAGAGTATTTAGTAAGCACCTACTGTATACACAGCCCTGTTTCCAGTCCAGGGATGAGGGAGAGTGGAGGAAGCCATGTCTTGGGGGCGGGGTGGGGGGGGAGGCTGTGGCTCAGACAGGGAGACCCCATTTAATCAAAGTTGCGTTTATTGAGCATCACCTGTATACTGTGTACACACATCTCATAGTGGTATAGCCTCTGGGTTCCAATCTGGGTTCCTATCTTGCTTGGCCACTTGCCCTCTACAGAACTTGGGGACACTGGCTTAACCCACTGACTTAACCGTCTGTGCCCCAGTTTCCTTGTCTGTAAAAGGGAAGTTATAACAATAGACTCCGTTGTGTAGGAGTATCCCAAGGTGAAGTGAATAACCGTTTGCCAAGTTCTTAGATAAGAAAGTGATGTTAACCATTAACCACCTCCAGGCTGGGAGGCAAACTGCTCTGCTTCTCATTTGCAATCAGAGTCGTGGTAACGCTGGCTGGCCACACCTGCCTGGCCACACCAACCTGGCCACACCTGCCTGGCCACACCTGCCTGGCCACACCAGCCTGGCCACACCTGCGTAATGAGTAACGGGTCTTCCAAATAAGACACCTGCGCTTTATAGACCTGAGTTACCCTGCAGGGAGGAAACAGTGATTCCGGCATCTCTCCCACCGCTGGAGACTAGGCACCTCGGAGCTGCAGGGACCGGCTCCCCCTGTCTGTGGCCCCGAGCAGCACAGACCCACACACCCCTGGGGCGTGGGGGGGAACCCCTTGCTCCCTGAGGCCTCCCGATTTGCATGCACTGACCATCCTGCTTGTTATTCTCATGGGCTCCTCATTTCCGGAATCTACCCCAGGACCCCCAGCCCCTGATCCTCAGCTCCCAGTGTTGGGTTTGATCTTTGCGGTGCAGAGCTCCCCTGAGCCATCTTTCACACACGAGCCCAAAAAACTAGCAAACATCTCTTGTTGGATTTTTGTGGGGCTTTCCGTTCCCTATACTTCCTCTAGCACAGTGGTTCTCAACCTTCCTAATGCCGCGACCCTTTAATACAGTTCCTCATGTTGTGGTGACCCCCAACCATAAAATTATTTTCGTTGCTACTTCATAACTGTAATTTTGCTACTGTTATGAATCGTCATGTAAATATCTGATATGCAGGATGTATTTTCATTGTTACAAATTGAACATAATTAAAGCAAAGCGATTCATCACAAAAACAATATGTAATTATATGTGTGTTTTCGGATGGTCTTAGGCGACCTTGTGAAAGGGTTGTTCGACCCCCAAAGGGGTCGCGACCCACAGGTTGAGAACCGCTGCTCTAGCACACCTCTTTCACCCCCAGCTGTGGGGTTTTTATAGAAACCACTTCCCTGCCTTGAGCCCCTGGGAAGTGCAGGGAACCCCCAGCACCGCCTGCCGCTCAGCGTGCATTTCCCAGGATTCAGCTGTGTCCCCCGTCTTAGCACATCTGTGCTCCTGGCACTGCTGCTATGGACCAGGCCTAGCACTTACCCTGGGCCAAGGTGTAACAGTTACAAAAGGGGCAGGCCCGGAGCTCTCACTCTTACTGAATTGTATGCTGACACCAGATGGTGGGAGAAGAAATAAATAAAGAAAGAGCTTCCTTCCCAGTCCCGTTGGTCCTGTGAGCAGGTTGGCCCTCTCTCTGAGCCTCATTCCATGGCTACTCGCCTGCTGGCCAATGGTCTCTGCCTCTTCCTGGCCTCGGGGCTCTTCTCTAGCCCCCCCCCCCCCTTCACGTCTGTGGCCCTGCATGCTCCTGCCCCACCACATGCCTGAACTCTCCTTCCCCAGCCCCTGGGCCGGCTCCATTCCAGCCACACCGAACCCTTCCTGTTCCTCCGCACTCAGTTCTCTTCAGGCTCCTGCTCAGGCACAGCTGCCTCCTCCAGGAAGCCTCCCTAACAGCCATTCTGCCGGCCCCTGGCTGAGTCATGCCCCACAGGCCTGGGCACTCCATGTTGTTATTATTTTTTAAATAATCTGTATTGACTTCTGAGAGGAAGGGAGAGGGAGAGAGACATAGAATAGACATCAGTGTCTAGAAAGAGACATCAGTGATGAGAGAGAACCATTAATCGGCTGCCTCCTGCACGCCCCCCTCTCCCCGCCAGGGATCGAGCCCGAAACCTGGGCATGTGCCCTGACCGGGAGGGAGTGGAACCATGTCCTCATGGTTCATAGGTGACACTCAGCCACTGAGCCTCGTCGGCTGGGCAGCACTCGTGTTATGACAGCCCGGTCCCCCGGCAGCCCTCGAGCTGGAGACACAGAGCCCACAGGACACCCCACCCCTGAGGGTGAGGGCGGGGCTCTTGGTCTGTGTGGGAAATGTCTGTGGTGGCTCCCTCTTCCAGACAAGGAAATGGAGACGCAGAAATGGGCATCAGCTTGCCCGGGAACGCACTGGTGGGGCTGGACTCCACCCACGCCTATGGGCACTGGGGGAGGGGCCCCACTGTGACCTGGTCCCCACACTGGCTTCGAGGCTTCTGCTCCAAACCCCCGTCCAAAGCCTGGGGTCTGGAGATTTGGATGCTGGGGACCGTGGGCCACTCTCCCCGCGTGGGAAGGACAGACAGGAGCCAGAGGAGGGTTTCAGTTTTTATTGACGTCACCGTGAGGCTGGGCACCAGCTCCCTTCCCCCATTAGGGCTTGTTCTCTGTCCTCAGCCCGTGGGGGGACCCGGGGGAAGGGGCTCAGGAGCGGCCCTCGCCCCCCACACTTCTCAGCACAGACTGAATCCAGTCCACATAGAGGGCAACGCGGGCGTAGAAGTCGGGGTACTGGCGGTTGGCACACTCCCGAACGAGGAAGGAGTCCACGGCCTGGAGGATGCCGTCGCAGATCAAGGGGCCGCCGGAGTCCCCCTGGGAAGGGTGGGAACAGCTGGTCAGTCACCCCGGATGTGGCCACGTCCGGCAAAGTGAAGCTGGTGGCAGCCCAATGCCAGTTAGCGGTAACATGTTTCCAGGGCGGAATTCTCTTTAAGGCCCGTGGGCGACAGAGGGAGACGGGCCACTCAGGAGGGGGGTGGGCATTTACGGCCCCTGCTCTATCCCTGGACCCCAGGAGTGAGCTGGGCGGCTCCAAGAGGGGGCCCCGGAATGGGAGAATCCCTAGACCCACCAAGGCCACCGGGTACGACATGAGCACCCCTGGGTGCCTGTGGGAGCCGAGGCTGTTCCCCAACCCTTGCTGAGCCCTCACGATGGGTGCGCCCCTCTTCCCGACAGGAGACCAAGGCACAGCCTGCAGCGGCTCAGTGGGGAGGAGGTGGGTTTGAACTGCTGCCACCCCCGCCCTCCCTCCTGTGGGCAGCTCCTGGAGCCCTCTCTGCCATCCACAGCGGCCCAGGGCGCTGGCAGCCGGGCAGGTACGTACAAAGCAGATGCCAGCTTTGCGCCGGGGAACGAAGGTGCACACATTCTCTGGCCGACACAGGAAGGTGACGACGGTGACGTTCAGCTCCTGAAGGACTTGGGGCACTGGTTCCATGGTGCCCAGGCGGCCCCAGCCCATGGCCAGGCACTGGGTGCCGTGGGGCAGCAGCTGGCCTTGCTCCGGGAGCTTCGCCACTGCCACCTGGGCGGTGAGGTTGGCAGGGCGGTCCAGCTGGGGCAGAGTGAGAGGAGATGGGCAGTGAGATCCTGTCTCCAGGCCCCATAGCCACCCCCTCTCACATCCACTCACGTCCTGACCATCCCAAAGTGCCTCCTCTGGGCCCGCTCCCGCTCACTCTCAGGTTCTACCTCAGGGTCACCTCCTCCAGGGAGCCTGTTCTGATTGATCCTCCAACCCCACCAGGACTGTTTACATTCTCTGACACCATGGGCCTCCCATTTGCAGCATTTGTCACCATGGTTTTCATCCACTCACAAAGCGCTCATTGAGTGCCAACTGTATGCTTAGTCCTCTGCTAAACCCTCAGGGAGCTGACCTTCCAGGGAGAGTGACAGATGCATTGTCGAGGGAAATGGCGAGATGGTGAACCGTGCATCAGGGGAGGGGTGGCTGTCTTTCCACTAGGGTGAGGGGAGCTCTCGCTGAGAAGGTGAGGTGGGCATTGAGGTGGGGGGTGAGGATGTTGGGAGGATGGGTGCCGGGCAAGGGGCACGGCCAGGTCAGAGGCAGGTGGGGCAGCCATTTGTGGGGCTATTGTCTGAATGGCCCTCTCCTTACCAGGCCTACTGTGTACCAGGCTATGTCCCAGCACCGGCAGGGGCCTGGCATATAGTAGGTGCTCAATACGTGTTTGCTAAAGGTGACTGAAGGGGTAAGCACCGGTCCTGCGGGCTCCGCCCACCCACCTGCAGTAGGAGAATGTCATTGCGAATACCCTCTGGGTCATAGTTGTTGGAAAACTGGCGAGTGATGGAGAACTTCTGTTGGCTGGGCTCGGCGTTCCGCAGGTTGTGGGCCCCGAGCACCACCTTCACCAGGGCCATGGGCCTGAGAGATCAGGGTGCTTATTGTTTGCTCCCCCATCCACCCATTTCCTTACCCCATGAGCACGCTGAGCACCAGATGCAGCTCCCTCAGTTACAGCCTCCCTCAGACCCAGGGCAGGGCCACCTCCCCCCTCAGACCCAGGGCAGGGCCACCTCCCCCCTCAGACCCAGGGCAGGGCCACCTCCCCCCTCAGACCCAGGGCAGGGCCACCTCCCCCCTCAGACCCAGGGCAGGGCCACCTCCCCCGTCAGACCCAGGGCAAGACCTTGTCTCCCCTCCTCAGACCCAGGGTAGGACTGGTCCTCCCCATGAGACCTATGGCAGGTCCACCTGGACACTCACATGTTTGCCAGGCAGTGAGCAGCGGTCAGCACGAAACTCGGGTGGATCAAGGTGCCTCCACAGAAGTGGGCATTCAGCATCTGCAGTGACGCCATGTAGGGCCGAGAGTGGGGCTGAGCTGCCCGCCCGCCCACAATCTCCGAAGCCCATGCTGCACCTGAGAACGAGGGGCATCGGCGGCTGTCACTCTCCCTGCTGCGTGCAGCCCCACCCACCTCGCTGGAAGGGAAGCACTGGGCAGACACCGAGTCCCATGTCCCAGAGCTCCCCCCTGCCCTGGAGGCATTCATTCCAGGCAGCAAATGGGTCCTGCCCTGGCCCTGCCTCAGCCTCCCCATCTGTGCGGTGAGGGTGCTGGGCTGGCTGTGGTGGGTGGATATTCCCCAGAATCAGCAAGGCCTGGGCAGATGGATGGACAACACGTGGCCCCACTCACCGCCCAGCAGCGTGGCCAGCAAGACAAGGGCCAGGGCAGGGTGGGAGGGTCGGTGGCTCTGGGTCATGGTTGGGTGGGGGCTCCCTTGCCTCCCAACCCCTCTTATAGCCCGAGACCTGGAGGCCGTTGGGGTTGCCCCACACCTGGACTGGGTGTCCTTACTTCCTCCTTTCAACCTGGGGCCGCAGGGAGTTGGGGGACAAACCACACTCCAGGGGGACAGGGAGCATCTGGCTCAGGGTTCCAACTCCCCTGCCAGTGTGAGAAACTATCTCCTGCCCATCCCGTGCCTGGGTCCCCTGGACAAGGGCCAGCAGGGCACAGGCTCAGAGGGACACACACACCGCTCTCCGTGCCTCCCCCGCAGGCCCCTTCGGCCTGAGAGGACGGTGGCCAGCATGTCCAGGTGTTGGTGTGAGCCCCACTCCTGGGGACAGGAAAGCACAGGAAACAGTGGTGGGGCCACAGAGCATGTCCCCTCCTGGGACGCAGAGGGTTCACTTTCCCTCTAAGGCAGAGTTCTTACCCGGGTGGTTGTTGCCCCAGGGGACACTGTCTGGGGACATTGTGAAGGTCAGCAGGGCTGATGGGGATGCCCCTGGTATCCAGTATGTGGGGCCTGGGACCATTCTCAACCCCCCACAATGCCCAGGCAGCTCCCCAGGTGTGATCTCCCCCCGCCTCCCCCATGTAAATAGTGGAGAAACCCTAGTTAATTATTTGGGAACATTTTTTAAAAATATATATTTTATTGATTTTTTACAGAGAGGAAGGGAGAGGGAGAGTTAGAAACATCGATCAGCTGCCTCCTGCACGCCCCCTACTGGGGATGTGCCCGCAACCAAGGCACATGCCCTTGACCGGAATCGAACCCGGGCCCCTTCAGTCCGCAGGCCGACGCTCTGTCCACTGAGCCAATCGGTCAGGGAACATTTGGGAACATTTTGATTTCACTCCCTGCTCACAGTAGACACCAGAATAAACCATGATGTTCAGACGGTGTAAACCAGGGTGACCCTCGCATCTGTGAGTCCCCTCCCGCTCCCTCCCACTCAGGCTGCATATTTTGTGTGGGCAGCCTCCCAGGACCTCAGTGGTCAGATGGTTACGAAAGAGGAGAACCTCCTGGGGTCCCGGAATCCCCTGACCCCGGGTTAAAGGAACAAGGCGCTGACATTGCTACAATGTGGATGAACCCTGAAACACGTGCTCGTGAGAGAAGCCAGACACAGAAGGACAAATTCTGTGTGATTCCGTTTATGTGAAATGTCCAGAACAGGCTGATCCAGAGACAGGAAGTGGGTTGGTGGTTGTCAGGGGCTGGGGGAGGGAGATGGGAAGTGGCTGCATATGGGGAGGGGGGAGTTCTTTTCGGAGTGAAGGAATGTTCTGGGACCAGAGAGAGGTGGTGGTTACACGATATTGTGAATGCATCAACTATCACTGAATTGTTAAATGGGCGAGTCCTATGGTTTATAAAGTGTATTTCAATAAAACTTCACCAACAACAAAATGAAACATACACACAAACCTGCTAGATAACTCACCCACCAAGGGGGGCCTCCCTGGGGGTTTTGGGGTGCCCTTCTCCAAGCGCTCTGTTCCGGGTGCACACACACCAAGGCTTGGGGGACAGGCAGGTGGGTGCGGGGGCGGGGGCTGCCTGGAGGCCTTGGGCAGGGGGTGTGGGAAAGCTCCCAGGGCAGAAGCTGGGGGCTGTGGAGAGCCTGGGGGCGGGGAGTGCAATAGGAATGAACCCTCTGGCAGGGGGTCCCGCTGGCAGGTGGAGGGGAAGTGGGGGCTGGGAGCTGTTGCCCCGGCCCCTTTCCATTCCAACCGTGGGTGGCATA